GGAGAGTATATAGTCAATTTTTCTGCATCATATAACGATAACAGGTACTCTTGCTGTCGCGACGAAAGAAGGGGAAGCAGGAAACGAGAAGAATTTGTTGTTCTAATCCCGAATCGAGGTTGATCTCGTTTATACATCAAATTTTAACTCAATCAGACTTTGGTATTGATCGAAAGAAAACCAAACTTTGGCCATTTTTTTCAAATTTGTTGTCTTTTTCAGTTTAAAATGTCGTTTAAATTGCTTTGAAAATTGCGTGATACTCACAGTCTTACTGCCCCGAAACTATGAATCTCTCACAAACGGTTTATTTTGACGATCTAAATTATTTTTGTTAATAAAATCACAATTTATAGTTGCTGCTGATAATCAGGATGTATACATCACATGTGTATAATGAAAAAAATTAATTGATATTGCAAGCAAGACAAGATTAATTATCCAAAAGATGAACAATCAATATTTCGTGCATTATTCACTGCTGCGAGAGATGCATCATGCGTGCCTAATTGACCATTGAGAATATTATCCAACAGTGCTGTATTATTTGCATTAATATGCGGCAGTGAACTGCCATTAGTGTTGAGTTTGAAATACGTAATATTGTACTTTTATTACGATTTAACGTTGACACTGATCAATGCACGATGGTATTTTTATTTTACTTACGTGTCATCTTGCGTTATTTTTAATTTTATGGCTTTCACGTTAATTGAAAGTGATAAAGGAACCACTTCGCGCGTTTCGCACGTTTTGTTCAAATGAAATTTAATTTCGCGAACGAACGGGTGTCCAGAGTGTCGAATCGAGCAACGGGCAATTGTCCTAATGCGTTAGTATTAAATTAGCACTGTGCAATTGCGTTTAACGTTCGCAACTGCTAATCGACGCATTGTCGACTGGGCAGAAATCAACATTCATTCACGATGTTTTGTCTCTTAGAAGTATTACTTTTCGTTGTATGCTCATTGCGATGCATCGAGAGTGTCAAATTAAGATATTTGATAATAATTAGCTGTTTCAAGGTCATTTATTTTATGCCAACTGCAATTACTGCGGTTATCGTGTCTGCGACATTGTTGCTGGTGCTTCGATTTGAAATTACGCGTAACAAATACTTGCAGCATCGAATGCAAATCGATTGTTGTGTTTTTTGCTCGTTTCCACGCATATTATAAATATCGGCATAGTGTCATGTGAATAATTATCATGAATAATTAGGGTGTATAAATGTTATGAGTTATGATTAGTATTCGTGTGTGTAGAACATCGGAGTAATTGCAACTGTTAATAAATTTAAATAATATTTACCATTCTTTGTCACATTCTCGCTAATTGTTCTC